AGCTCCTGCTGACTGAGAAGCCACCACCCTGTACTGCAAAAGGTGCAATTAAAAAGGTGATACAAGCCTACAAAGGCAAAGCACTTTGCCATGAAAGAAGTAATAAACATTTCCGAGCCTAGGCTACACAAAAATTGATGTTGCAGTGCTGGACTTTTCATTTCTTCTTACTCGTATTGACTGTCTTTATGAAGCATGCTGCGATCTGCTAATGAAAAGCACCCTCTACAAACTAGGTATTATCATCTTTATTACTGTATAAATAGTGTTATTATTTTAATTATGCATTTCTTGTTCTTGAGGGGAGCAGGTTCCACACAACTGTATTTTTTTAGAGGCAAACCAGGTTTTTGTTTATTTTGTATACATCACTCCAATTTCCTTCTTCTCAAATCATCACAGCCAGTCATCATTTATCAGATAAGGTAAAACATGGGCTGTAAGGTACTTAAGTTAAACAATCTGTTTATCTTAATTGCACTGGTGTCAAGATAGATGCTCTACAGATATAAATAAGTGAATACATAACTGAGCAATTAGTTCCTAGTGGAAACTGTTTGCAGTCTAAAATGTTTCCCTGCAATCAATGTGGGTTCACACCCCTGGTTTGCAATAGTACTCTCTACACAATGGACTCGAAGAAGAAAATCAGAGTAGGGTAGAAGTCAATTATCAAAGCAGTGTGGACAATTCATGCTGTTGCTACAATCGCTCTATTTGTGTTCTTCAGGCTATTTACATCTCTATATGCCAGTACAGGAAGGTATAGCAGCCCCCTCTGAATACTATTTGAAGAGTCATCACTAGGCATGTCTACATGTGCATTTACTGCGCTGTAAGCAGTTTTTAAGCTGGCATCTATACACGCCGGCATTACAGTGCAGCAACACCATGCGTGGACTGACTTGGGAGTAAAGTTAGTCCCAAGTCAGTCCACACACACAGTATTACTGCACAGTAACATGTCTACACATGAGTTACTATGCAGTAACTACTGGGGTGTAAATTTACGCCCAAGTTAGAATAAGTCACCATAGTTACTGAGCTGTGCAGGCATGCACAGGTAGACATGCATCTGTACTGTGCAGTGATTTTCAGTTATTGCACAGTAACCTAAATTACCACACAGTAAGTGTGCACATGTAGACGTGCCCATAGTGCAGGACCAAATCCTCAGATTGTGCTTCTGTTCCTGACACGGCCGCCTCTGATGCCAGTTCCCTTCTCTTTGGGGCAGCTCCCCCCATACATTTAAACCCAAAGGAACGGTGTCCATCTCCAGCTGCATACGCAGCAAATATTCTTTGATTGGGCACCGAAGAGAAAAGAACATGAAACAACTGAATGAAAATGAAACTACTGAAATTTTAGGCACAAAGGCCTTCTGTTGGATTTAGCCTTTAGTGCATCTGTATCTTATGTCTCATCCTTAAACATAGAGCTTTGATAATGATCCTGAAGCAACCTAAGTAGTTTTGCACAATGCAGTACAGTACAGTTAAAAGGGACCTGTGCCATCCATGCTTAGGCAGGTAGATTAGCTCACATGGAGCTCCACATATTCTGCTTCCAGTATCTTAGCTAGCTCATGTATCTCAACCCAGCAATGCAGTGTGCTGAACAGAGCTATCCTCAGACAGTAGTCAGGTTGGCCATTTAAGTATCCTAGATGTATAAGTAAATGCAAACGCTTGTATACAATGTGCATATGAGATTCATATATTATGCAAAAAGGATACATAAAAGTAAATATACAATTTAAAAAGAAGATCACTTTGGCAGCAAAGAAAAGAGAGAAAACATCAATTTAAAGTATAATGATCCCAATCCATGGATGAAGTAGAAGTATTTCAGCTGAGAATGTACATGTTATTGCTTTAAATCTCTCCTTTTTAAATACGCAGCAATGCTTTTGCAGATTATCCAATATGCTCTGCAGCAAAGCTAGGTGTTAATGTACATTTAAAACATAGCCATGGTGGGGTTTTTTCTCCTGTGCACTTTTAAGAATCAATTCTGGATTGTGGTCTCATAGGCCAAGTTCCAAGGCTGCAGGAATGTTTATGGCCAAATTAGAAATCCCTGAAAAAAGAGGTTAAAATGGAGATGTTAAACAGCCTTAACTGCTGCACCACTATAACATTTCCCTTTAATGATTTGGAGAGAAACACATCTCCACTGAGATTAACCTACCTGCGAGTACGTTTGATAGCAGGGTAGTTTTACTGCATTCTGCTAGTGGTCAGCAAAAAATAATTCAAATACACTGGAAGAACCTCTGCTCCCCAGCACCATATAGCTCTCCAGAGCAGTGGCAGCTCTGTCATTATGGCAGTCAGAAATGTGATAAAATGCAAGCAGAGTCAAATAAATTTCCCTTCAACCCATTCATATGCAACATTCCCTGCAGTAATTTTACAGTGCAGTGCCTCCATACTTCAGAGGAGTGCTCTACATGGAGACACCTGCTCTTAAGTCATGAACAGCCCACTAGAGGGCTTGAAATCAGTGGGTGACCGTCGAAGAGCCACTATGGCAGAAGCTGCAGAAGCACTCTTGAAAGTGCTCTTAACAATGATACGATGATCACTGCGGGGATGCGTACAGGATCTGCCTGCTGGGGTCGGACGGCAAGATCAAGGCAACTATGGCGTGAGGAAAGAGGGCGTACAGTGTCCTATTCCACATGCTGACACTTGAGTGAGCTTGGAGTAGAGTGGGAGGGAAGGAGAGGCTACTCCTTGACAAATTTAGTTTAATATCAATTTTTAAGAGTCTGGTAGTTTGATCAATCGATGCTGAAATGATGCGAAGTTGTGCAATCATGCTCTTTCTGGTGCACAACAATGATCTCACCCTTCAGAATGGCTTGCCTTGACTTTATTTATGAGTGTCTTTAATCTGCCCTTTTTTCCCCTCTAATGTATTACAATGTAGATTCATTTTCCAGTTACTGTAAGGCATTCCAGAGTATGTACTCTAACCCGCTGGCACACTTTGCTGCTCTTAAAGGCAAGCAGCTGCAGAGCGTGTCTCAGTGTCCAAAATAACTGCAACAGCTCCAGTATGCAGGATCTGGATGTCAGAAAAGGGGAATAGTCCACACAAACTCTCCTCTGCATAAAGCAGGTATATGCAGCATACATGATGATACAACAGATCACCTGCCAATGATTCTGTATTGCTGGAAAAACTGGAAAAGAAGGGCTTCCATTTTCAGCTACTCAGAGGTGGGGTTTTACCTTTTGGGACCCCAGGCAAGGGTTTAGTATCTGGCTCCTATTTACCAGACAACCCTGTTAGTTGCAACTGTGAAATTGATGATTGCTCGTCAGTTTCATACCTACGACTATAAGGAGGACCCAGCTAGGAGCTCCAGGCACTTCTATGGTTTGCATTACTGTTACACTGTCCCTGCAGATACTTAGAAGCTAATGCTATGACTGAGGATCTTATCATGATATGCTCAACAGTTACTTGAATATGGACTAACGCATTTCTACACCTGTGCAGGTCTGGTAAGCTCCTATCATAGCAATGAAACAACCTAGCCTATTTCAGCTTGCTAGACTCTGATGCAATGGTCTGGTTCAACATTTGTTACCGTGCTCATTAGCAAGTTAGCGTACTTGTCTATTTCACTTTTAGCCTACCCAAATCGGGGCGGTGTTTTCACAGTTCGAGAGAAGGGCTGTGCTCATTTCTGAGAGAGCATTTTCCCGCTTTGGTCTTTTTTAGCTTCAGGTCACTAGCGAATTAAAAGGTGTATGCCGACAGCAGTGTGATATACTAGATACCACATCTTTAGCCAAAGCTGCTTAGCAGAAATGGCGAGTATTATTAACTTCATAAACATTGAGGTTGTGCCCTTCACCTCTATGGCAGATTAGTTAGTGAAGACCTGAGACTCCTGGGAAACCTTTTGGTATGTAAACATCAGCTTGCAGTTTGTTGTAACATAGACTATAGAAATATTCCTGTAGTCAAGTCTGAGAACGTATAAAGGAAATCTAGGGGTGACACACAATACATATTGGGAGAACTAAATAAAACTGCAGGTATTAATAGAACTACATTCTATAGGAAAAAGGAGCATTTTTTTCCAAAATAAAAGCAGAATGCCAGTGGTTGACATGTTTAATTAATGGAGTTTAAAATACATGTGAAATAAAAATGAAGCAAAGCAGATGGGTTTTAATCATAAAACATCTGATGATAATGAAAAAATAACTCTTTATATCACCTTTGGATAGCTGTGTAGTGCATTTAGTTTAATTAAAATTATAGCAAGATCTTCCAATGACAATGATAAATGTCTTTATCATTAACATCTGGTATGTTAGAGGATGTGAACAATATTTCAATATTTCCTAAAGGAAGGAAGTGAATGAAAGATGATCCAATTCCTCACTGTTTTGGCAATATTTTTTATAGTTAAGATGCAAGGTCATAGTTAAATGCAAATAGTTCCATTTTGCACACCAATAGTTATTGTCTAAAGCATAAGCTCATTAATACCTGAATGGTTTCATTAGCAATACATCAGCTGAAGGAGTCAGAGATGAATAAGAGCATACTCTGTACAAAAAAAGCATACTTAACAACTACCCTACCAATTCCTGGGACAGACAGACAAGCAGAAAGATGGCATAAATACATTAGATGAATAGCGCTGAAACCAACATAACTTATTTTGTCCTTGAAACAGAAGCAACTTCTCCATCCTTTAAGTTAATAACGCTTTATTTTGTCCCCAGCTGTTAAGTTTATAGAAATTAAAAGTCATGACTATTTGTCTTTTGCCACCATGAATTTAAAAGTGCCTTTAAAAAATCTCATTAACATTGTTTTCTTTTTTTTTTTTGAACAGATTCAATACAAAACAGATTACATCCTGCCTGCTCTGGTAAAGTGCACATAAATTTTTCACAAACCAATTTATCTTAAAAATTTGTCTTTCTTCATTTTGATTCTGGACACAGAGCTCACCAGAAAAGCATTTTGGGTTTTTTTGTTTTTTTTTTCTCAGATAACATAATTCTAGAAATGGTAATATATTATTGTTTATGTTCTTCCCTTTGCACGGACATATTCCAGATAGTAAAAATCACCCTCCACCGACATGGAAAATCACCAATCCACCGACATGAAAAATAAGGGTGAAATTCATTCACCTGAAGAGACCCTGAAAAAGACTAGCTGGACTGCTGAAGCATCCGGTAAACCATTGGAAGGAGATAGGGGGTGTAAGGAGAAAGACCTCCTTAAATCTCTGGATGCAGAGGATAGGTGAATCTGCAGGGAGGGGTCTCCAGGGACAGCCAAAGACCAGGGGCTAAATTACTTCCTTCCCAACTCTCTAGGGATAAGTCTCTGTCTATGAGAGCAGCTCCTGCTTCGAAGCAGGCCCATATCAGCAGAGGTTAAATGTGGCCACGTTACATCCCAAACTGTTTGAAATGGGCTTGGGGGCAGGAACCAAGATGGGTTTGGAGGCCTTATTCCTATGGGGGACGGGCCTGGAGATTCTTGTGGAACAAATGTCTGTATCACAAAAGCACAGCATTGCTGCCATGCTGGCAGGCAGTATCATTTCAGTGGCCATCCGGTGAATGGGCATAATGACTGAGCTACTATTTCTCTTGGAGGTTTTGAAGACCAGGTTAAAGAAAGACTTCAGTGGGATGATGTAGGTGGGGCCGGTCCTGCTTTGAGCAGGGGGTTGGATTAGATGTGACCTCCTGAGGTTGCTTCAGCCCTCATTTTCTATGATCCTGTGATTCTCCTCTGCTAATGATTCCTAAAATGTTGGGGCAAGGATACTTTGGTATTATTGGGAAGTTTCTGCTGCTGCTTCTTATGCTGTACTTCAACCTCTCCAGCACTGACAACTGAATCTTTTTGCAAGCACCACGTCTGGTTTATAAAGAGAAAAGACATAAGTGGGTTTGTGCATCACTATGCATAGAGAATTGGAATAAAAAGTAAATTATAATCATCTCAGCCAGATATTGTTAGAACATGCCAGCACCTTATCGCTCTCATTTCCTTTAATTTGTTTTCATTTTTGCCTAAGGAAGCTTTTCTCAATGAGCTTTCATGCCTGCTAATAAAATGCTTTACTAGCAATGTATTTGCAAGAAACAATATTGTGTCCCCGCCTTTCTTCTGATACCCCTCTTCCAAAGGTTAGTAGGTATTTGGGATCTTGTAGGTCTGCTCTCAGCGGGAAAGAAGTCAATAATGCAAAGTGTTGGGTGTCTTCTAAGTGTTGATTGCTATTTTTCCACAGACACACACACCCCAGACCTGGAACAGAGGTGATTGCAAACAACATGCAGGACAAACCTTCTTTCAGGAAATTTAGTCCAATACCAGTCCCCAGTTATTAGAAATAAGCTGTCTCAAAAAATGAAACAAATCAGATGCTTGCTCATCTCTGAGTCCAGAAATTGCTACAACACAGACCCCAAGCAAATTTTAACATAACACATTTTCTCTATTCCCAAGCCTAAACATTTGCTCATCCACCAAAAAATATAATTTGGAAAACACCTAAATAATTTGTAATAAAACATCACCTAGTAAGACATAGCGGATCATTTTACTCTTTAGCCAGTACGCTAGAAGCATGCTTAGCTATGAGAGATGGGTTGATAATGGAAATCACTTTCCATGAAAAAAATTCATTAAAAAAAAGAAACAAACAAAAAAGCAAAAAAAAATCTTTTTATTTGAGAAAAAACAGTCAAAACATTTTTTTTTTCCTTAGAGAAGGGCACTACCAAAAGGAAAAGAAAAGTCTGTTTCAAGACTATCACAGCTGAAATTATCATCTTCCCACTGCCCACCTGGAAAATTCTTGCCAATCTCACTCACTCTCAGTAGACAGAAAACAAAATGGACAAGTGTTTTCCAGGTAGGCAGACAAAGCCTGGCAGCCCTGGCTCGCTCCTTTCCAGCTGCTCATTTTATGTCTCTTCTGCAGCAAGTAAAAAATTCAATTCAAAAGGCCCTTCAGGGTAGGGCCTCTAGGAGCACGAATTTTGACTTTCCCAATGGAAAACTGAAATTTTTCAGCAGAAAAGATTTTTTTCCAAAATAGAATTTTCTGTTGGAAAATCATTCCTAGCCACCAATAGGAGGGATACCTGTCCAAATATTCTCTCACCTTAATTATTGCTTCCTGCTTGAAATCATTAGGGTTTCATGGATTTATGTGATAGCAAACTTTGGACAACTCTGGTTAGATACCCACGCACAGCGGTTTCGCTTTCGTCATACTGCTGGTCACTTTACATTTGCAATGTATATGACACCATGTGTCTCAGGGTGCAAAGCAGATTATTTGAGGTTGATAAAATATTACTGGGGGATAGATTACCTCATCTCTGCCAACCATAGTGTTCTTTGCACTGCCTTCCAAGATGGGTGGTGGTGGCTCATGGTAGAGAAAATACTGGATGGACCCCTGCTTTGTCTAATATGAATGGTTCTTTATTCCTATGCCCAACGCGGCCTGTACAGGGGAGTGGAGCACCCCACACATTGCCAAGACAGCAGTGCAGCTCAGAGGCACATTTCTGAATCACAGACATGCCTACTTCTAGGTGGCTGTGGGTGGAAGAGGGTAATGATTTACTGGAGACCTTCAATAGGATTAAATGAATACCTTGACACATGCATTGGAGCTGGCTCAGCCTCCCTGGCACAGTGAGGAGGAGGATGGAGTCAAGATTTTTGACTATCCACTGTTCCTCACCCACTCGCTGCCCACCTGCCCAGGGGAGGAACTGAGCTGCAGATGGGGAGATGACTTTTATTTTCTCTTCCTGCTTTGTGCAGATCTGCAATCCAAGCCACAAACTAACCCACATCTATTCTACAATTAAAATAGAGATTAATGCAAAGGCCATCATTATGAACATTTCACATTGTGATTCTTTGGCGACACTTCAGAAAATATGAGAGAACTTCAAAAGGTTGAAAGTTAGCAGAAAGTACGTGTTGCGGTACCCTGTAGTTAACTGGTATTGTTAGAGAAGAGAAGCTAATTCTGCCTCCTTGCATCCACCCTCCTATTGATGCCAAAAGCAGTTGCTGTCCTGAGCAATAATAGCTGTGTCCTTATTTAAGATAAACTGAGTTTAGGATAACAGCCATTGATATGTACTGCAGGAAGCCGACACTGAATCACCTATAGTGTGCAATGAACAATTTTGTGTCTCGCAAAAGTCCCCATCATTAAAGCATTCACAGTGCTTGAGACATAAGAGCAAATGCTTGATGTAGTGAATTAGCTGGTGAAATCCAATTCTACAAATGGGCATTACGATTTTAAATCAAAGTTTATTCGTTTGCTGCATTTGGGAACCCTCTAATGTCAAGCAAATGATGCCACCAGGCAGCTACATTAACTGTAGGCATGAACATGGGAGTTAGAAAGGCTAACCCACTCCAGAAATAGATACCTTTTTTCTGAGCCAAGAAAACTCAATTTTCACTCCCTGCAAAAGAATCAATTACATATGGCACTTCCTGGTCAATAGAAAGTTGCAGACGCCTCTCCTTTCTGGATTCCCTGTTATCTAGCTAGCACTTTGGCTGGGGCACTGATCAATGAGCATAGTACAAGCCCAACCACGTTGCTTTGGTGCAGCCTGTGATGTCGTTATTACCACCTCTAGTTTGTTGCAGAACGTGAAATGTAATTGTGGAAGTCAGGAGGTGGGTGGCACTGGCCCCAGCCTCTGCCACTGGCTTGTCACAGCGAAGGGTAGGAGAACATTTCTCATGGGGGTGCAAAGGCCAAGGAAACAGACACCCTCCCTTGCAGCGCCATGACATAAGTGGTATCAGTTTGTGCTGCTTTACTGAAGCCCATGTCTGTTAGATTTATGGCAAGAGATGCCTGTGTTCTCCAGCAACCCTAGGCAGAAACTCCCTTGGCTTCAGGGACCCAATTCTGCACACACCAGGACTCCCAGTTCCCAGGGCATGCAGGATTGAGACCCTGAATCTCTGAGAGTCTCCTGTTTGGGATTTGGGATGCTCCTGTGCAGTCCTGGGCCTGGGACTGCACCAGAATACCGAACACGCTTCAATTAGCAACATCTAGTGCTAACCGAGGATAAATGGGAACATCCCCCAACACTGTGCAGATGCCAAATCTGATGTCTGCTTCTTAGGGCAAGGGCTCTGTGTCCTCATTTAAGTCAAGAAGGCTCTGAGGGTGTGAATGCCTGATCCAAAGTTCAGAGAAAACTAAGTTTTGGATCAGCCCCTAACCGTAGGCAGGGGTTGGCTCTAAATACTCCCTAAATGCAAATACTTGCTGATGAGCTTTTAGTAGGAGTGAGTGAGGCTAAATACCTTTAAACATCTGGTCTTTTCTCTTCAGTATAAAAATGTGCTGTTAAATGACTTCCTGGGAAAATAAACATGATCTTCTTCTGTATTAGTTTAATAGGATTCTCTTTACTCGCTCTTATCGTTCCCCCAAAAGTTATATTTTTGAAGAATTCACTGAGTGACTCAAATAAAGAGATTTCAGAGTATAAGCTAATATTGCCTATTTTCTTCATTACATTTCTTTATTTGTTTTTTTTTAAATATCCCATAGCTGTACAATCAGCAATACAGAGGCACAAGAACCAGATCCTCACATTAACACTGACATGTGAACAAGAATCTCGAGTAAATGGTATTAAGGGAAAAATTCTCTAAACCTAAAGGAAAAAAAAAAAAAGATGCAGGGCTTCAAGGATGCCCCAGACTCAGTGCACCGCCATTATGGTTTAGTAGAGGTGTTAAACCTAAAAAGCAGGTTTTTAAACCTGGTGCTTTAAGAATTGACACAATACTTGGTTAATTAATA